CAGCTGCGATGGCCGCCAATGACGTACCCTCAGTGGGGACCACGCGACGCGCCCGGTTTGAAACCGCCCACCTCTTGGCCTAAGCTGACACACCGTCGCTTCGCCTCCATCTCACCTCTAGCCGCCCTCGCGCGCCGTTCAGCTGTCTTCCATCACCCGTACTTGCTCCTGCTAGATGATCAGCGTCTCGAACATCTCGTACGACTTGCGACCAAGCGTCGCATTTCTGCTGGCTTTGCGATGTGCTGGTACCGAAATCCACAGCACACTGTTTGTCTGTGCAACCGGCGGCAACTGGAAATGACCGTCACACATGTTCATCTTTACACCCCCGAAGGCACCTAGCGGGATCGATCTTCGTCTCTACGACTACGAGAAGGCGTGCCAGGAAAAGCGAGACGATCATGGAGATCACAGTGTCGCTTATATGCGGAAAGACTATACACGCCATCTGCGCGATCGGGCTCAAGGGGAACGAGGATCTCACGAGCATGGGCGAGGCGCGGGAGACAGATTACTTGATCTTGAACGAGTTCTCTGTGTACGTGCTCTTCTTCAGCAACTTCAAGTCGCTCAAGCACGCAAACAGATCCTTTGTTCTTGGATGATGCGGGACTTCCCAACAACATCAATTACTGCTCAGGCGGACTGCCGGAAATGTCCTGGTGCAAATGTGAGTCAACACGGTGATATGCACATCTCTGATCACCCAGCAACTTTTCCACCTCAACTGTCATGAGCACATCGTTGTTCAGCAACTGGATACCTTCGCCAGTGAAATCACCCCCGATGTCTGCAACGCCCGTAAGCGCAGAATTCAGGAATCCAGCACACAAACTGACTATCACCCATAGCCTTCACATCTTCATCATCGTCACTGTCTCCCCCGTCCCGTCCTGCTCCGGATCAATCGCCATTGCGGTCGCTACCTCCTTCATCTCCTTCTCCCACTTCGAGACATACGCCGTTGCCCTACCATCCGCATGCTCCGCCGGTTCGACGGCTGCCGGTCGGATGCAGTACCTGATGATACGGATGACGCAAAGAAACCGGCATCTCTCGCCAGCCAGTCCCGCTGGCGATCGTGCTCCACGAGATCTGCAGACTGCTTGCCAGCAATCAGCAAGTGTGTGTGCAATCACCTCTGTAAAGGTCACTGTCACATTGTGTGTGTCCTCGTCGTACGTGCTCTGTGTGTCGTCTTCTGAGTTACCTCCACCAGGCAGCAATGTTTTGTCTGACTCGAAACCGGGCGTGCCGCCTCCGCTGTGACCGCCATTGCCTTGCAGTTGTGAGAATGCTCAATAGCCGAAAGCTTCTGCTCGAGTTGCAGGCCGCTGCATGCAAAACATCCAGCACCGATGACCACAACTACCCATCGTCGCATAAGTCGTCAACCTTACGCCACGGCTTAAGCAACATGATCATTGACACGCAGTATAGGTGATACTGGTCATCATCGTCACACTTGTGAAATAACGCCCGATGAAATTGAAGAGAGTGTGGTGGCCCTTGCCACGATGTATGCGCA